GAGCTCCTGGCATTTTTCAGCTGGCTACAACGCTTTGGTGGACACACGTTAATTGAAAATGTGTTGTTAGGCATATGGCCTATTAGTCTTTTTTTATCGCATTTATGCAATATATTGGAGCTAAACCTGAGAAAGGAGTCCAGAATATTCCACTGCGTTCTTGGACACGTAAATTAGCTGTAAATTAATTCTTAGGCGGGGTTATGCTAATTGTGAATGAGCGTGCATGTCACCGCACCATTTAAGAATGATTGAATTCATTAGTGTTTAACTATCAAATCTGATGTTTACCAAGCGTTTGTGAATCCAGAGGAGAGTTTTCTGGAAGGTGTGTTTTACGCGCAAATTACTCTGAATTTACTCATATATTTATGAAAGTTTCATGAATGAGGTCCATTGATTTTATATTCCATTTCATATTTTACATTATTTTCACTTAATTTACACTGAATAATCTGTCCTGATTATCATTAGCCTAAATGAGCTGCTAAAAAGCCAATAGTTCCCTGTTTTCTCCTCATTCATTATGATGATGTCTGAGATCTTCTGTAAATTGGCACATTAAGCTCATTTCATTGTGTGTCAACAGATCATCACAAATAAAATCTATTACTGAACATAACTAAAATACTATAATGGACTAACACATCGATAATATCAGAGATGTCAGTGAAATGGAGATTTTAGCCTATGCAACTTTTATGTTGCATATATAATAATGCATATAAATAAATATCTTTTGGAACATATTTTCCAGTTTAATTTGGGTGTTTCTTTGTCAGTGTCTTAATGAGCAGGCAATCAATTAAAGAATAAAAAACATCAATGTAGAAGTGACTAAATACTTGTGGTTCTCCAACAAAACTGAAAAAAAAACATCTCCACAAATCTTATGGGATTTCATGGCAAAATTAGTTTATTTAAGCTAATCTCATATTTACTGAATCTCACAGCATTTATTTGAAATACTGAATCTGTAGAAAACATTTGCTCACTCTGACACAGAGCAATGCTTTTTAATATGAGTCACAAGAGCCACTGACTGAGTGAAACTCTCTCCACACTGAGTACAGTGGTACGGTTTCTCTCCAGTATGAACTAGCTCATGTCTTTTCAGGCTTCCAGACTCAGTGAAACTATTGTCACAATATGAGCACTTGTAAGGTTTTTCTCCAGTGTGAATTCTTTGGTGCCGTTTCAGATGATCAGCTCTAGTAAAGCTCTTCGTACACTCACAACACACATGATCTCTCACTTCATAATGGATTTTCTGGTGCCGTTTATAACTGGCCAACCATGAAAAACTCTTTCCACAGTACGAACACACATGAGGCTTCTCATCTGAATGAACTGTCAGGTGTTTCTTTAGATGTGATGAAGAAATAAACTTTTTACCACACTGATCACAGTTAAAAGGCTTTTCTCCAGAGTGAACGTGCAGATGATAACGGAGACTTGATGCATCAGTATAACTCTTTCCACACTGAGGGCATGTGTATGGTTTCTCTCCAGTGTGGATCCTCATGTGCTGTTTAAGGATTCCTTTTAGTCTGAAACTCTTTCCTCACTGTGAGCAGGTGTGTAGCTGTTTGGCTTTTTTTCTTGAAGTTTTGACTTTACAACGTTCCTCCTCCACTTCATTCACCTCATGTCTTTGCTGTTTTACTTCCATCCAGTCTAAAATAAACAAACAATGTGGTTAAAATCAGTTAAAGTGAACCTGATTAAATAGCAGAAACCAAAAGAGGTCACATATTTATCTGAGTATGAAGTATCAGATCTTTGATGTGCCAAAGGTTATTCTGTCATTCCTTGTTCATAAAATTAAAATGATAATGATTAAGATGATAATTTAACATTCCTATTGCTCATTATTTCAGAGCCACTAAATCTTTTTAACAGCAGTTTTAATGTGTCTCAGCAGTCAACAATGAAGAATCAAGAATGGACACCAACCTGTTTGTTCCTCAGTATCTTCATGTTTTATTCTGGATGGTCCTGAAACACTCATGTCGTCAATCTCCTCTTTAACAAACTCCATCTTTACTATAGTATGTGTCAGATTTCAGCTGCTGCACCTGGAGTCTGCACCAGTCCTGTAGGATCATGTGAATGTTCCTCATCTTTTAAACACAGTTAAAGCACAAACTCCGCCCACCACAGATTCTGAAGATTTCATTGGTCATGTCAATCACAGTGACCGCCTACACAACACTGAAACAAATCCAGTACAAACTTTAGTATAGGGTTAGTTAGTGACAAAGCAACCAAATTACCCCGAATCGAATCTTCCATCATTGAAGTGTCACCATTGGTATATAACGCAGCAGCTGTTGCTAAACTCAACTGAGTTTACTAAATGACCTAAAATAACGATGCTGCAATCTTTCTCAAGTTATTTTTTTACCCTGTAATTTGGCTGCAAATCTTTACCTTTAAAAATTACCCTGCTCATCAAAATTGATTGATTACTCAGTACTTATTCATCCATGACATTTCATATTTTGTCCTTCTTCTTCATTTATGTATTTCTCTCACCAGAAAGAGCTGTGAACTGAATCCATGAAGTCTACAATTTTGTTGAGGGGTGACGGAGTGATTGAGTTGACCAATGAAATTAAGCTTGCACTTAACTAATTAATAAAACATTTTGACAAAACCAAAACATTTTATAAAATGATAAACCTTGCATTTCAATTATGTTATATATAACTGGTTTAAATAAAAACAACAGACATCCTGAATGAAAATTCTAATTTATGCTAATCCAATGTAAAAAAACAAAAAAACAACGAGTACAGGAATGTTTTTTTTTAGCATTTAATAGTACTTCTAATCATGAAATTCAACCTGAGGGGTAAAAGATTAAAAACACACATCAACAGGTGATTATCACATAAAGTGTTGATCCTGTAGTTTGTCTCAGTCTGTTGACACACAATGAAATGAGCTTAATGTGCCAATTTACAGAAGATCTCAGACATCATCATAATGCATGAGGAGAAAACAGGGAACTATTGGCTTTTCAGCAGCTCATTTAAGCATTACGGCTCTTTTTCTGTCAGACTATTGTTTCACTAATTGTCAGTTACACTGTTGTTTGCCAAATTTAATTGTATGCAAAAATTATGCAATTACTTTGACAATACAAATGTACAAATATTGTGTCGCACCAATCAACCTGAAAACCTATCAAACTAACTGGATGAATGGATAGAATTTGCTCTTTGTGACAACATTTTGAAAACATTGTGCTTTTTATGCTTTGTCATAAGAATCGCTAGGGTTTAATGCACACTGAGTACAGTGGTACGGTTTCTCTCCAGTATGAACTCGCTCATGTGCTTTCAGGCTTCCAGACTCAGTGAAACTCTTGTCACAATATGAGCACTTGTAAGATCTTTCTCCAGTATTAATTGTTTGATGCTGTCTCAGTTGGCTAACTCTAGTAAAGCTCTTCCCACACTCACAACACATGTGATCTGTCACTTCATTATGTGCATTTACTGTTAAAAATAACACTTTAGTAGCATATAAAATGGCTTTATAGGATGATTGCTAATTTTTATGTATCCCAGGGTTTTATCAAAATAAAACAGGGCAGAGGTTATATTATTCAATTAATATCTAATCAGAAATCTAGCATAGATTACAAAAATCCATTAAATGTACAATATGTACAGGCTGAATAGGGGGTATATAAGAAATTGTGAAATTGTATTTAGTTTCATTAAAACTCAGATTTAAACAACTTTACAGTTAAATTAATAGCTATTCAGTAAACATGAGATTAGCGCAAATGATTAGTTTTGCTGTGAACAAGATTTGTGGAGATGTTTTTTTTCCTGTTTTGTTGGAGAACAGCAAAAGTATTTAGTCACTTTAGTCTTACATTGATTTTTTTTTATGTAACAAAAATATGTAAAAAAAAAAAAAAGATATTCATTTATAACTGCATTATTATTATATGCAACATAAAAGTTGTGTAGGCTCTGTATAATGATGTAAATAAAATTTCCATTTCACTGACATCTCTGATTATGTGGATTATATAGTATTTAGTTGTTCAGTAATCGATTTTATTTGTGTTGATCCTGTAGTTTGTCTCAGTCTGTTGACACACAATGAAATGAGCTTAATGTGCCAATTTACAGAAGATCTCAGACGTCATCATAATGAATGAGCTGAAAACAGGGAACTATTGGCTTTTCAGCAGCTCATTTGATGATAGTCTTTTTATCAGGAGAGATTATTCAGTGCAGATCAAATGAAAATAACGTAAAATACACAGATTAAAATCATTCTATCTTTGGAAAATCCTCATAAACCATAAAAACCCAACATATGTGTGTGTTACCAGGATTTTCCAGGTGGCAACAATACACTAAAATTTACAGCTCATTTAAATTTACAGTTTGCACGTGAAAGGTGTTTCCAGTTCACAGAATATGACTTTATCCAGCTTTTCATGGCTCAACAGTTTATCAGTAAAAGTTGGGAATATTTATATATTTATATCTCTTTAGCGGGTGTGCCCAGGATGGCCACCAGATGAATGAATGAATGATGCATTTATATAGCGCTTTATTGCTTTATTGT